TTAAGCAAGTTGCTTGACCTCCCCAGGTCTGAGTATCTTATGTATGATATGAAAACATTGAAGTAGGCTATTTTTCAGGCTTATTCTTTAAAACGTCTGTGATTCTGTGAATTCCATGACCCACCACTTACCTTTTCCCACTTTTCACCTTTTAAACCCACTCTCCATCTCTCCAAAGGAATGGGCACTGAGAGTAGAGAGAGCAAGTCCTTTTCACTAAAGCAGCATGATTTGAAAAAGCTAGTAAGTAATCTCTGAACTATTTCTTCTCTGGACAAGAAAAACTTCCTCTGAACTACCTTTTCCTCCTTGTGATAGCAGCAGAAACCAAGCAGCAGCAGCCCTTGGAGAGAGGCTGAGTTTTTCTTGACTTCTACAGTGACAAGGACCTTGAAAAAGTTGGTACTTCTGGCCTATGCTGCCATCGTCCTACCACTGACCCGAAGACAACCCAGACTGGACGTTAGTGCCTCCCTCTTTACTCCTTTGTGATCATCCAGATCAGGACTTGACTGTTTATTTTCAAATCTCACAAACCCAGCCCCTAAATCTTCATATTCTGGTTCTCAGCTGCTCTTGAAGGTGAATGAAGTTTTGCTTTTGAAAATAATTTTTGTATGATTTTGTCCATGTGCAGAAGCACTTGGGTTCTTGTATGTATCTGCCATTTGGCTTAGGTGTCCAGCAGAGGGTTCATTCATTCATTTACTCATTCAATAAATGTATAAGGGACTGAGAATATAGACAGTGAAAACAGTCAAAGTCTCTGCCACCGCAGAGTTTACATTCTGATGGGAGATAGACATTTCGTATGTTAGAGTAAGTGCATGGTAAGTGCTGTGGAAAAAAAATTAAGTGAGAAAGGGGGATTGAGAGTGCTAGTATGTGTGTGTTGAATTGTTGCTGTTTTATCTATGTAGAACAAAAGTGACCTTTGAGCAGAAATTTGAAAGAGTTAAGGAACAAGCCATGTGGATATCTGAGTCAAAAGCATTCCAAGAAGGGGGAACAGCAGGGACAAAGGCTCTATGTTGGGAATATGCTTGAGATTGAAGAACAACAAGGAGTCAGTTATGGAGTCTTGGGTAATCTTCCAGTCAACATCTAGAGGTGACTTTCTAGGGACAGCCCCTATAAGAGTGACCTCTGGTTTTTTGTTTTTTTTTTTTTCTTTTTTTCTTTTTTTCTTTTTTACTGACTGGTAACGGGATCGCAACCCTCGGTGTCACGCCCGTACCGGGGACCGGCAACGGGATCGCAACCCTCGGTGTCGCGTTCGCACCTTGCTCAGCCAGTGAGCGGGAACTGGTCTCCACATGGGATCTGAACCCTCAGTGGGAGCGCCGCCGCGCTCCCAAGCGGCGCACTCTCCAGTGCGCCACCGGGCTGGCCCTAAACTTTTTATTTTGAAATTTTCCAACTATATGCAAAATAACAAGTACAAGAAACCCTCATGTACACATCACTCAACATTTTGCCATATTTATTTCATCCCCCCCCCTTTTTTTTTGGTGCCAGAGTAGTATTTTAAAGCAAATCTCAGATATCAGGTCATTTTATCTCTAAGAACTTGAATTGCAGTTTCCTTTTGCATGTTGTTTTTGATGGGTCAGGCAGCATTATCAGCTGGAAGTGAAGTTTAAACTGACCTAGGATGGAGATATAAGGCACGATGCAAAAGAAAAAAACAAAAACGGGCCGGCCCAGTGGCGCACTGGAGAATGTGCCGCTTGGGCGCTCCCGCTGAGGGTTCGGATCCCATGTGGAGACTGGTTCCTGCTCACTGGCTGAGCAAGGTGCGGACGCAACACCGAGGGTTGCGATCCCGTTGCCGGTCAGTAAAAAAGACAAAAAGGAAAAAAAAAAGAAAAAGAAAAAAACAAAAACAAATTTACCCAGGCATTGTGCCTTGTGTCCCCATCCTGGGTCAGTTACCAGGTTTAAGTTGGTATCATGAACAGACAACAGGCCCTTGGAACATGCAAGGATCTAGAACAGTGGTTCTCAAATTTTAGCATGCATCAGAATAACTTGGAGTTTTTAATTCAGTAGTTCTCAGGAGGAGCCCAGGAATTTGTATTTCTAAGAAGTTCGTAGGTGATGCTGTGAGAATTTGTACTTCTAATAAGTTCATAGGTGATAGTGATGCTGTGAGAATTTGTACTTCTAATAAGTTCATAGGTGATAGTGATGCTGTCCACTCACCCCACTCAGAGAACCACTGATACAGGATCCTAAAGTTCAACAGAACTATATTAGAGGCCAAGAACACTTCTGTTTGAGGTTGGAGTGGATTAGACTGAGGTTATGTGGAACCAGAAGGGACTAGATCAGTGGTTTTTAAATTTGATTTCATAGTAGAATCACCTGGAGGGCTTTTAACGCTTTTGATACTTAGGATCCATCACTATGAAATTGAACTAATTGGTTATGGAGTGAGGCTGTGCACTAGTGTATGTTAAAAAGCTTCCCAGGTGATTGCAGTATAGAGTCATACTTGTGACCTGACCTAGTGAGCAACAGAAAGCTTTTCTAGCCTGCTCTTAGGGTAGCTTTGTCATCCTCTGCCATTAAAGCTTTGGTAATTTGACAGATGAGTCTTTTTTTTTTCCCCCCCAGCTGTATGTGAAGGCTTCAGTGGGGCTAAAAGTTGCTGGTATAGGTTTGGGGGTCCTTAGAATTAGAAGCAAGCAGGGAAACTGTATGTGAAAGTACCAGGGATTAGTGTTTTTCTAAGCATTTGTTATCATCGCATTGTGTTTTTTGTTTTGGGGTTTTTTTGGCAGCTGGCTGGTAAGGTGTTGGGAAAATATAAGAAAATGGTCAGGGCCCCTCAGATGTTCAGAATCTTGCCGAGTATTTGATGTAAATATGTACGTGCGCTCAGGTGTTCCTTGGTTATTGTCTAATGTAATTGTGTGTGTGTGCACCCAGGTGTCCTGGGTTATGGGCTTAAGTATAAAGGATGAGTGGCTCTTATCCACAGTGCCCCCATCCCTGGGATGCCCCCAGGGGGGTCCTGGGGAGACCGCCGCCACCGCTGCTGCTGCTGGAAGCTGTTGCTGCAAGCTTTTGCTGCCAGTGCCCCCACGACCCTCCACGAGGCTGCCGCCACTGCCAGACCTGTAAGCTGCTGCTGCTGCAGACTGAGCTCACGTCGTCTGCCAATGGCTCCCAGGATCTTTCCCGATTACCTAGCATAGACCTGCGTGTGAGGGGTCTGGGGACTCAGTCTGTACAATGGGTTTGAAGGGTGTGAGCCCTAGCCCTGACAATATAAATGGAAACTTAGTATAAAATAATGAAACACTTTGGCTTTAGTTAGGATTTGCCTTACTGGACAACTGGTCTAGTAGCTTTACATAAGGGGATCCGAACCCTTCACCTTGGTGATGTCAGCACTGTGCTCTAACCAAGTAAGCTAACTGGCCAGCCTTGCGTTTTTATTTTGGGGGTAGGTTCCAAGATGTCTCCAAGGAATTATTTTGTCTATGATAACTCAGACTGTGTCTACCAGAGTATGTTCAGATTGTTGAAGACTTTTTAAGTTAGCTATGATTGCTACAAAATGGCTTCTAATAATACTGATGTGCAAGAAGGGGTAATAGCTCAATATGGAGAAATAATTAGGAGTAAAGAGTTCAAAAAATCTATATTTCTGTATAAATTTTTAAAAATCCGATTCTGGTTCTTAACTCTGGTGGGTGTTGATACTCTGAAGAATGTTTCAGAATGACTGGCTCGACAGAGTAGCTTAAGAATATGGTCCTGCCACCATCGCTTTTGGCTTCAGGGGTTTTTGTACCATTATGAACTAGAACAGGGACTTGATCCAATCCCAACTCTCCAGTTTAAATGGAATAGCAGTATCTTATGTTTGTATAGTACTTTCATGGTCTGTTGTCTTTAAATGAACAAGTATGTGTGCACTTGCATGCAAGTATGCCTCTTTACATGCCAGTGTCTGTATATACGTGTAGTGAAGTGTATCCATGAATAAGTATCCATGTGTATACACCACCCCCCTAATAAGAGGTGATGAAACCATTCTTTGTCTACTTTCCACAGGACAGTGACTTGCTACCACCACAACAGCAGAGCCTGTCACACCCAGCAGATCTCCAGTTGCCTCTGATATCACCCCCTCCGTCGTCTCCGTGTGTGGCCTTCTAAATGCCCATCTTGTTGGCCTGGGTTCAGCTGGTGGTATGGAGGGGTGCTGCCTAGCATTGACCTGGGAGTGTGTGTTGACCTACTGACCCAATGGTGAGAACTGACTGTCAACCTCTCCAACTGATCATCCAAGGGGTAGATGAAACAAGTGTAGACCTCACCTTTTCATGGTATTTCCCCTCGCATCCTTTTGGAAGGTAGAGGGCTATTTGAAGTTAAAGGAAGGAAAAGGAGCATGGAAGCAGTATTACTTGATGTGTGTGTGTAGGTGAATTTTCTTGTTAAGAAAGGGAAGAGTTAAATATTTTAAGGGATAGAAAGGGAGTGATGAGATAAGAGCTTAGGTATGCTTGGGAACTGCCTTGGGTAATGATCTTAGAAGAGGCTAGCCTATACTAGAACCCAGATATACTTAGGAATGACATTTGCTCAGACTCTCAGAATGCTTTTCTGATAGAACAAATCTGAGTTAAAATCTATACTCTTCAGCCTTTCTCAAAGACGATATACCTAAGTATCCTGGTAAAAGTCTGGGAGGAAAAGCTGGAAACTTAAAGATGTGAACTCCTCAAGCAAAACCTACATTTGGTCTGCTGAAACTTTCTTAGCATGGTGATGGGAGGGAGACTTGTCTGTCAATGAAATCCTTACCTAGGGCCACTGCCAAGAACCCCTTCATATAAGTAGCTTTCACTTTTTCTGTACTGCTGCTGTTTGATTTCTCCTGTTCCTAGTGTCTTTTTGTGTTTTTATTTTCCTCTTTCTCTATCCCCCCATTTTTTTTCACTCCCCTCCACTACCAACATTTTTGCCACTATCTTAGGGGAGCTGTGCTGCTGACCTGTATCGACACTCACAGCTTGATGCAGACATTGAAGCCGTGAAGGAGATCTACAGTGAGAATTCTGTATCCATCAGGTGGGACTACACTTAAGGGATGGCAGGGGAGCAAGCTACTTCTGAGTTGTTAAAAGGCTAGAGGTTTTTTCTTTTCATGGTGTGATAGGGGGATAAATTATGAGCTTAATGATAAAAGTTGCTCAGAATACTTAAGCTTGGCTGACAGGAGTTAGTAGGGAAGTAAGGCCACTTTTCTTGTAAGTTCCCTCTTATGCTAGTCCCTTCTAGGCTGATAGTTTCACCTTTGAGGTAAGAAAGGCTTTTGGCCTGGAGAAGGTCTGGATTATATAAGTGGCTTGAGGGTGTAGCTAAGACCCTAGAAACAACTGCCTTCCACCCTTCCCTCTCCCCTGTCCCCAGGCTCAGTTCTCCTACTTCAGTCTCTGTTCCCTTCTTTCTCCCTTAATGAATCTCACCTGTGGTCACCTGTATCTCTATAGAGAATATGGAACTATCGATGACGTGGACATTGACCTCCACATCAACATCAGCTTCCTCGATGTAAGTGGTGCTAGTACCTGCCAACATGTCTAGCTGGATTTATGGATTTTATCATGTAGGCCAGGAGTCTTGTTCCTGAGTGCTGTATTTGGAGCACATATTCTTCATCTCTGTCTTTCCTAGACCATCAGCAGACAGTGGTGTGTACTGTCATGTGCATGTGTATGTCATAAAGGGGAAACTTCAAGCCCATTCCTCTCTATTGCTAAACTGGAAACTATTTCCCTTATTCTTTTAGGAGGAAGTCTCTACAGCGTGGAAGGTCCTCCGGACAGAACCTATTGTGTTGAGGCTGCGATTTTCTCTCTCACAGTACCTTGATGGACCAGGTAAAGGCAGTGACTTTGGGCAAGTGGGTGCTCTGAGTGTGGTCTAATCCAAAGTCCTGAGTTAACTGAGGTAGAGAAAAACTAGGACCAAGGCCCTTGGGCTCAGTCTGCAGATCATCGGTAGGGCTTTTCAGTCTCTTGTCATTGGTGTCTTCCCCCTATCACCTGATAGCCATCCTCTAAAGGCCTTCTTGGTTAATGAAATTATTTTTTCTAGTTCCGAGATATCACCTTCCCCTGTCCTCAACTTCCTACTGATGTCATTTGAAATTAGCTTCCAGAATCTACCATCTGCCTCAGATGTTTTCTTCCTCCACCATTATTGCTTAGAGTATCGTGTTGCTACTGTTTTTAGAATCTAAGGAAGCTGTTCCACTGAACTATGGCTTTGAACTCTCAGGAGGATAGAGATATGTGCATACTAGGAGCTTTCTCTTTTCTTTGCAGAACCATCAATTGAGGTTTTCCAGCCATCGAATAAGGAAGGATTTGGGCTGGGTCTTCAGTTGAAAAAGTAAGAACTTTGATCTTTTCTGGTCATGGACATGTGAGGGAAAGAGGCGGACATAATGTGGATGGACAGGCAAAGCCTTGGAAGGAATGTTTCCTTCCAAAAATGTCTTTCTGATATATGCTCAGGAAAAGCTAAAATAAATTTGGGGAGCTAAGTTTATGCCTGTGGAGGAGGAACCTGTGATTCTTGGGTTGATGCCTTAAGGCTTCTGGAGGTGAAAAGAGAGGCTCATTATTACTTAGCATTTAAGGAAATGCTGGAATCAGTTATGCTGTTCATATTTCCTTGTGTGGTTTCTTCAGAGTGGGGCTCTAGGAGTTTCTATAAACGTTAGTTTATTGAATCTGTTTAGTATTATGCTAAGTATTTGGTATACAAAGAGAAATGAAGCACATTTTCTATCCTCAGTGAAGTTCCACATAGAATCCAGTGGATATGTGTTCTAATACAAGTGAATATGTCAGGCTTAGAAAGAACAGAAAAGGAATAACTGTCTTGTGGCCAGTGGAAAGCTGTAAATGAAAACCATTGTTCATCTCTCTTTCATTCTTTCAAGGATGGGTAAGAGTTGTCTGTGTAGACAGACTCTGAGAGTGAATAACATTTGCAGGGGCATAGTAACATGAAGCAGTAGGTGTATAGGTAGTTTCAAGTAAAACATTGCTGGTAAAATGCAAGGGAAAAGTGGTAGGAACCAAACCCAGAGAAGTAGGGAGGGGTTCAAATCAGAGAGAATCTTCAACTTTTATTGTGTAGGCAGTGGGAACATTGAAAGGTTTTAGGCATAGAAAGGACATGGTCAGATTTAGTTTTAGAAAAACCATTCTGGTAGCATTGTGCAAAATGGGTAGGAGGGGACGAGACAAGAGACAAGAACTAATTTAGTAGGATGCTTTTATAGAAGTCTAGTTATGACAGTTGATAAAGGCCTGAACTAAAGTGTGACTGTAAATGAGAATGGAGATGAGATAGATTTGTGGAGTGTAAAATCAATAAGAATTGAAGACTGATTTGGATATGTTGAATTTGGTCATAAGAGCCAAGGAATAGTGGATAATTGCTCCTGGATTTCCAGCCTAGATATCTGGGTAAATTGTGATACCACCAATTTAAATAGGTATATCAGAAGAGGAGCAGGTTTGTAGGATGAGGATAATTAGTTCCATCTTAGACATGTTATTTACAGGTAATTTTGGGATGCGCAACTGGAGATGCTCAATATATGTCGATTTGGTACTTCCAAGAGGGGTTAGGGTTGAAGATACGCATCAGTGTGTGCGTGGAAATTGCAACTAGTGAATATTAAATTGTTAAAGATGATAGCATAATAGAGTGAAAATAAAATAGGATCAAGGGCAAAATGCTGAAGAAACCAGCAGGGTGGGAAGAAAAAGAAACACTGAAGGTAGATCAGAGAAGTCAGAGAAAAATAGGAAAAGAATGGTGTCACAGAAGACAGGGAAAGAGATTTTCTAAAAGGGCCAGATACCAGAGAAGATAAGTAAGGAGGAGAACTTAGGAACATCTGTTGAGTTTAGAATCAAGGTGAGAACAATTTTAGTGGAGTGGTGAAGGTAGAAACCGAATACAGAAGGTTGAGAAGTGAGTGGTCAGCAACAAAGTAGAGACAGTAAGTATAGATTGAGAAATTTGGATGAGGATAGGAGGGGAGAAAGAGAGGTGGCTAGATTGAGGTATAGAAAGTTGAAATTTTTTGTAGTCTTTAGGAAAGGAACTAACAAGAGAGGGATGATTGATAGGTCAAGATCCCTACAAAAAGCAAGAAGGGACTAAGACCTAGAGCACAAATAGTGAAATTGATCTTAAAGAGGAGGGTCACCTTGTCTCCAGAGAATGGAGGGATCAAGGTAAGAGTAGAAGTGGAAATAGGTTTTGTAATAGGCTTGAAAAGTTAAGGGAGCTAGAGAGGGATGATTGATAGGTCAAGATCCCTAAAAAAAGCAAGAAGGGACTAAGACCTAGAGCACAAATAGTGAAATTGATCTTAAAGAGGAGGGTCACCTTGTCTCCAGAGAATGGAGAGATCAAGGTAAGAGTAGAAGTGGAAATAGGTTTTGTAATAGGCTTGAAAAGTTAAGGGAGCTGATATCTGATGGCTTTATGTATTAGGAAGGAAGAGAGGTTATTGGTTGTAGGTAAAGTTATAAGCTTAAAGAAAATGAAAAGGATTTAGAATAATAACTTAGAGTAATGCTGGAGAGAACTATGGCAAACAAGTGAAAGGATTAACAAGTCTAGCTGAGGGCCCAGCTTAAGTTTGGAAACCGTAAATTTGGGGATGTAATTTTTCACCTAACAATGTTAGTACCCCTCATGTCCCTAGTCCTTTTCTTTACTACTCACAAGGCAAAGGCTGGTACTCACCTCTGTCTTACCACTTCTGTTCCACTGTCAGTGTAGTCATTCTTGGCAATAAATCTCAAGGTTCACAGCCTTTGAAGGCTCACCTTTGAGATTTCCTTCTAAAGATGAAGCATCTCAGAATTTTTATGGCCCATTAGGCTAGATAATAGGAGTGGGTATTTACCCTCTAGGGTAAAGAAATGCTTTAGGGCAGTACATTTCCATGTGCTAAGGTCATTTCAAGGGTGGTCTTCAGACACCTTCCCCCCCACCACAACTAGCTTTGCAGTCCCTGGGTCTGAATTTTAAATTAGTTACCTTTCTAAGTCTTTATTTCTTGACCTGCCTCCCAGCCTAATCTTGCCTAAGTCTGTTCTCTTTGATCCCTCAGGATCCTGGGTATGTTCACATCCCAACAATGGAAACATCTGAGCAACGATTTTTTGAAGACCCAGCAGGAGAAGAGGCACAGTTGGTTCAAGGCAAGTGGTACTATCAAGAAATTCCGAGCTGGCCTCAGCATCTTCTCACCCATCCCCAAGTAAGTGCTCCCCTAGGGGTGATCATCTCTAAACCTTAGTGTTGTCTTGGCCTGCACACCCACCTTCTTGATTACCTAAATTTATCTTGTCTATCCTCTCCCTATGTCCTGTAACTTTAACTACTGTACTATTTACCTTTAACTACTGTACTATTCACATAGTCCTGTCCCCAATGTTTCCTTACCCTTCTACNCTACCAGAGTATGTTCAGATTGTTGAAGACTTTTTAAGTTAGCTATGATTGCTACAAAATGCCTTCTAATAATACTGATGTGCAAGAAGGGGTAATAGCTCAATATGGAGAAATAATTAGGAGTAAAGAGTTCAAAAAATTTATATTTCTGTATAAATTTTTAAAAATCCGATTCTGGTTCTTAACTCTGGTGGATGTTGATACTCTGAAGAATGTTTCAGAATGACTGGCTCGACAGAGTAGCTTAAGAATATGGTCCTGCCACCATCGCTTTTGGCTTCAGGGGTTTTTGTACCATTATGAACTAGAACAGGGACTTGATCCAATCCCAACTCTCCAGTTTAAATGGAATAGCAGTATCTTATGTTTGTATAGTACTTTCATGGTCTGTTGTCTTTAAATGAACAAGTATGTGTGCACTTGCATGCAAGTATGCCTCTTTACATGCCAGTGTCTGTATATACGTGTAGTGAAGTGTATCCATGAATAAGTATCCATGTGTATACACCACCCCCCTAATAAGAGGTGATGAAACCATTCTTTGTCTACTTTCCACAGGACAGTGACTTGCTACCACCACAACAGCAGAGCCTGTCACACCCAGCAGATCTCCAGTTGCCTCTGATATCACCCCCTCCGTCGTCTCCGTGTGTGGCCTTCTAAATGCCCATCTTGTTGGCCTGGGTTCAGCTGGTGGTATGGAGGGGTGCTGCCTAGCATTGACCTGGGAGTGTGTGTTGACCTACTGACCCAATGGTGAGAACTGACTGTCAACCTCTCCAACTGATCATCCAAGGGGTAGATGAAACAAGTGTAGACCTCACCTTTTCATGGTATTTCCCCTCGCATCCTTTTGGAAGGTAGAGGGCTATTTGAAGTTAAAGGAAGGAAAAGGAGCATGGAAGCAGTATTACTTGATGTGTGTGTGTAGGTGAATTTTCTTGTTAAGAAAGGGAAGAGTTAAATATTTTAAGGGATAGAAAGGGAGTGATGAGATAAGAGCTTAGGTATGCTTGGGAACTGCCTTGGGTAATGATCTTAGAAGAGGCTAGCCTATACTAGAACCCAGATATACTTAGGAATGACATTGAAGTCTTCTGCATCCCTCCCCCACTGGCTACCAGAGCCTCAGTCATCTTACCAAGACTTAAGAAGTCCCAAATTTCCTACTATTTTCCTTTGTCTCACCAAGTCGGAGCTAGGCCATGGATATGGTCAGAGTCAGGAAGAGATTGAGGCTCTCCCAAAGGGTGAGGTGAAAGGTGTAAAGGGATTAGGGCCTCAGTTATTCTATCCCAGAGGACTTTCTCCCATTCTTTGTGGGAATCTCTTTCCTATCCCATCACTTCACCCTATTCCATGAGATAATTGGGACTTAATAAAGGATGTTTCTCATCACTAGGACATCAAAGGCCAGTTCTGGAATGATGATGATTCGGAGGGAGATAATGAATCAGAGGAATTTCTCTATGGAGTTCAGGTAAGGTTTCATCCCCCAAGACCCATGTTGGATGGTCTAGATTAGTGCTTTCTGGATACATCAGGAGGGAGATTGTTCTAGAGCACAGGTGAGATGAGAATATAAAACGTTGGTGTGGTCTGAACTGATCACATGTCTTTGCTCCTGCCTGGGACTCATACTCATTCTAGAGTATACTACACATCCTCTGTATATGGAGGCTACCCATATATTCTTAGTTAGAAATAATTATTTTCTGACTCTTTCCTAACTAGCCAGTGAGGGTCATTTCATTCATCAGGGTTGCATATTAAAAAATTACTCTGTCAGTGATTGCTTAATGCCATCACTATCCAGGGCATAGTCCTCAGCAAAAATGCTCAGACTCAGGGTCGGCCCGGTGGCGCACTGCTACAGTGCGCCACTTGGGAGTGCGGCGGCGCTCCCGCCGAGGGTTCGGATCCCACATACAGACCGGCCGCTCACTGGCTGAGCGAGGTGCAGGCGCAACACCGAGGGTTGCGATCCTGTTGCTGGTCACGAAAAAAGACAAAAAGGAAAAAAAAATGCTCAGACTCTCAGAATGCTTTTCTGATAGAACAAATCTGAGTTAAAATCTATACTCTTCAGCCTTTCTCAAAGACAATATACCTAAGTATCCTGGTAAAAGTCTGGGAGGAAAAGCTGGAAACTTAAAGATGTGAACTCCTCAAGCAAAACCTACATTTGGTCTGCTGAAACTTTCTTAGCATGGTGATGGGAGGGAGACTTGTCTGTCAATGAAATCCTTACCTAGGGCCACTGCCAAGAACCCCTTCATATAAGTAGCTTTCACTTTTTCTGTACTGCTGCTGTTTGATTTCTCCTGTTCCTAGTGTCTTTTTGTGTTTTTATTTTCCTCTTTCTCTATCCCCCCATTTTTTTTCACTCCCCTCCACTACCAACATTTTTGCCACTATCTTAGGGGAGCTGTGCTGCTGACCTGTATCGACACTCACAGCTTGATGCAGACATTGAAGCCGTGAAGGAGATCTACAGTGAGAATTCTGTATCCATCAGGTGGGACTACACTTAAGGGATGGCAGGGGAGCAAGCTACTTCTGAGTTGTTAAAAGGCTAGAGGTTTTTTCTTTTCATGGTGTGATAGGGGGATAAATTATGAGCTTAATGATAAAAGTTGCTCAGAATACTTAAGCTTGGCTGACAGGAGTTAGTAGGGAAGTAAGGCCACTTTTCTTGTAAGTTCCCTCTTATGCTAGTCCCTTCTAGGCTGATAGTTTCACCTTTGAGGTAAGAAAGGCTTTTGGCCTGGAGAAGGTCTGGATTATATAAGTGGCTTGAGGGTGTAGCTAAGACCCTAGAAACAACTGCCTTCCACCCTTCCCTCTCCCCTGTCCCCAGGCTCAGTTCTCCTACTTCAGTCTCTGTTCCCTTCTTTCTCCCTTAATGCTCCTGACCCAATATTAATACCTGTCCTTTATGTAAAACACACCACCTAGCTCATGGTGTGTATTTGGAGAAATGTATGCTGATCTTTTGATATTTCCTTTTTTGGCCCTCATCTTTATTCCCTATCCTAAGGAGGCAGAGCCAGAGAACAGGCACCAACTCCTTTCTGTTATTCAAGGATATATTGATTTATTATCTAGGTTCTGGAAATAAATATTCCCCCAACTTTTGACCCCAGGTCTACATTTTCACCCTGATGCTTTCTGCTTTTCTCAAAGGCAGATACAGAACAAGATTTATAGCTTCCCAGGCACCACTGTTGACAGTCAACCCATTAGGTTCTTTGGGATGCAACTTCTTGTCTAGAATAGTATTGACCACTTAATGTGTTTGTGTGTGTGTGTGTGTGTGTGTGTCTTTCTTTCACGTTTGCATGTGCATACACTAAGTGAAACAGGCTTCCTCTCCAAGGGATCAATGTGTCTCTTTCTTTCACGTTTGCATGTGCATACACTAAGTGAAACAGGCTTCCTCTCCAAGGGATCATTTCATATCTGGCATAAATGCCATAGTGACCTAGGATCTGCCTATCCTCCCTGTCCCAATCTGAAGAACACACAAATAAGGGCGTAAAAATCAATTCAGATGTGTGATCTATTTGTTTTGACAGTGTTTAAGATCTAATAGAACTTTCCTCAGATGAGTTTGTCTTTGGCTTAGGACTTTTGGCAGTTACCTCTAATCCCCTTTTAGGGCTCATTCTGAGCCCCCAGTTTCACCAATTCTTTTTTCTCTCTTTCCCTAGGTCTCCCAGTTTCCCTATCATACAGGACTCCATGCTGAAAGGCAAGCTAGGTGTACCAGAGCTTAGGGTTGGGCGCCTCATGAACCGTTCTATCTCCTGCACCATGAAGAACCCCAAAGTGGAGGTGTTTGGCTACCCTCCCAGCCCCCAGGCAGGTCTCCTGTGCCCCCAGCACGTGGGCCTCCTCCCTCCCCCAGCACGGACCTCTCCTTTGGTACATGGGCTGGGGAGGGTTTGTCTTGGGCATCAGGAGGGTGGGAGTGGAAATGTGGGAGTATAGCTTCTCAAAATGGGGTGGGAGTATGGCTGTCCAGGCATCATAAATCAAACCTGTGCATGTACAATGAGTGGACAGAATGGAACACATTTTTTTAATAGCTGAAAACTTATATCTAAACTCTCTTGAAGCTTCTTTGATAGTAAACTTGCCATGAAGCAGAAAGTCTAGAGATGGGCTTCGCAAGAAGTCATGTATGATTTTATTAGGCTGTGGTTAGGACTTGGTAGTCAGCTGCTGTAGTAACCTACTCTACCTACTTTGAAGAGGGCTGAGGACAGGCAAGTTCTTTTCCAGAACTTTTGGCAAAAATGTTTAAAGGTGTTTTGTCTAGCTTTGGGATTACTTAGGCCAATCCGAGCTAGGGCTCAGCTACTTTAGGAGAATCCTATGTGATGGGCATGAGGTCTCTCTAAACCCCATTTTCATAGGAGGCTCATGGGCTTTATCTGTTTACTCTCACTAGGTCAGTGGTCACTGCAAGAACATCCCCACACTGGAGTATGGATTCCTTGTCCAGGTAATCAAGTCCAAAGCTTCATCCCCAAACCCCTCCCTTTTGTCTGACCCACCTGATCACCTGATGTTAATTTAATTTAACCAGCTTCTCAGTTAAATTTTCCTGAGCTGTTTTGCTCCCAGAACTATACTAAGTGTTAAGTGGATAGGAAAACAGAAGGCATAGTTTACATCCTCAAGAAGTTTATAGCATTATTGGGAAGACAACACTTTTAATTAAGTGCCAAATGAGGCACTGCAAGTTTTCAGTGTATGGGTAGGTGTGAAGATGAGAGAAGGATTGACACAAATTTCCTTATGATCCCTTGCTGAAGTGCTCTTCAGTTTTCCTCACAGAGCTATTTTCACTGCTCAACCACTACTGGTCTTTTGCTTCTTTTTGAAATCTGTTTATTCCCTGGACATGCTTTCACTTTTGCATCTTCTGTTACCTTTGTTCATGTCATTCCCTCTATCAGCCTTCCTCCCCATATCTGCCTATTGCAATCAAGGCTCAGATACCATCTTCCAGTAAAATTTCCATTACTCCAACTGCATTAGCTAGAAGTGATCTCACCTTAGGGGACAGGGCTGAGAGAAAGGAGGGTAGCTGGAGAAGCTTATGTTATTTTTCATATCTGTTCCTATACTTCCAAAAGACTTAGAATCTGTTTTCTCTACAGATCATGAAGTATGCAGAGCAGAGGATTCCAACACTGAATGAGTACTGTGTGGTGTGTGATGAGCAGCATGTCTTCCAGAATGGGTCCATGCTCAAGGTATAGGTTACTACTTTGGGACCCTCTTCCTTAGCCAAGGCTCCTTTACTCCACATCTCTTGTTTATTTCATACTTGCTGAATCTGTAGTAAAAGTAGAATTCTGTCCATATTCCCTGAGACTCTAGAAATAATTCTTTTTCTCAGAAAATTTTAGCAGTCCTGTTAAGAAATGAAGATATGAGAATATTGTTCAGGATATAGTCCCCACCCAGCATTTTAAAATACAGATCAAATATTAAGATGATTATATTAACCATTATATTGGTTATAATGCTGTCCTCAAGTACTCCAAGTCTAGGTGGGTAAACAGATACTTAACTGTAAATCACAATATATGTTAAGTATATAGAAGAGATATGAACAGAAGCTCAGAATCAAGAGTATCTGATTACCTTGGAAGGTCAGGGAAGGCTTCATAGAGGAGACAGCATTAACTCTCAAACTTATCAGTAAGACATTTTAGTTAAGGCTTTATTGATAGTTTTCTCCTGTCTTAGAGGGCCTCAAATTCTTACCTTGTTCCAGAGTTAAGTTCAGGATGTTATTCTCTCTCTACAACTTCTTATTGCACACCCTTTACCACCACCATCTGTTTAATATGTACATTCAGCCAGCCGTCTGTACTCGTGAACTGTGCGTCTTCTCCTTCTACACACTGGGAGTCATGTCTGGAGCTGCAGAGGAGGTGGCTACTGGAGCAGAGGTATGGGAGAGGGAAAAGCGGGTGGGGAATTGGGATCAAGAAAGGCAGGGAAACTCAGCAATTTCACTCCTTGGAATTTACCCTCCAAAAATGCTTTAATATGTAAGGATGCGCTCTGTAGTATTGTTTGTAAAACAAAAAAATGGATACAACTCCATCTGTAGCAGGTCCAGTTAAAGAAATTATGGTATATACTCACAGTGGGGATACTACTCATATATAGCTGTTATTTATGGATAGAAAATTGTAACATATAGTTATGTAAAAAAGCAAATACAACAATGTGTGTAGTAAAATTGTCTATATAAGAAAATAACTATTTCCATAGGAAAAATATCTGGAAGGTTATACATCAAACTTGTCAATAGTTTCCTGTGAGGAATGACGTTTGTTTGGGGGCAGGGGAATGGTTTTTATCTTGAGTCACTTTGGTATTACTTGAGTTTTTATAATGAGTTTGTGTTTTCTAATTAGAAAACCATATTTGCTTTGTAAAAGAACAGCAGGGAGAAATGCTGGATCTGTATGACTCCTGGTACTGAGAAATCATTTAGCTTCTGCCCCCTTTTTCTCCTTTCCCTTAGGTGGTGGATCTGCTGGTAGCCATGTGTAGAGCAGCCTTGGAGTCTCCTAGAAAGAGCATCATCTTTGAGCCTTATCCTTCTGTGGTGGACCCCACTGATCCCAAGACTCTGGCCTTTAACCCTAAGGTATAGTTACTTGGGAAGAAAGTGAGGGATAAGGATCAGAATTGCTAAAAGACAGTGGGAGACTATGGGCTGTCAGTCTAGTGTACACAACAGCTTGGAATAAGGGACAGAAGAAATGGAACACTTGGTTTTGGAAACTCTTGAACCCTAGGATTTAGCTGTTTCAGTGAATAAATAGCTGAGTTTGTCAGAGAGAGGGGAGAAGAATTAATGTTAGTTATATCATGGTAGGGAAGAATATAAGCTTTGGAGCCATACAGACCTGGACTCCATTTGAGGTTTTGCTGTTCCCTAATTGAATGGTGTTAGGCGAGTCATTTAACAATTCTGAACCTCAGTTTCCTTATCTGTAAAAAGGAGTTGATGTTTACTTTATGAATTGTTATTAAAATAACCAAAAATATGTGTAAAGTACTGTATTAGTCATGGTTCTCCAGAGAAAACCAATAGGAGAGAGAGAGAGATATACAGGTTTATTATGAGGAGTTGCCTCACGTGTTTGTGGAGGCTAAGTCCCATCTTCTCCATTCAGCAAACTGGAGACTCCAGAGAGCCAGCGATGTAGTTCCAGTCCTAGTCTTAAGGCTCAAAAGCCAGTAGAGCCTATGGTTTAAGTTCTAGTCTGAAAGCCAGTGAACTAGCCAATTTCTTTTATTTTTGTTTTTGGGTGGCTAGGTAGTACGGGAATCCAAACTCGTGACTTTGGTGTTTTAAGGCTGTCCTCTAGTCAACTTAAATGGCCAGCCCAAGCCAGTTTCTTAGTTTGAATCTGAAGGCAGGAAAAGACTGATAATCCAACTCAAGCAGTTAGGCCAGGAGGAGTACCCTCTTACTTGAGGTGGGGAGTGGGGGTGGTCAGCCCTTTTGTTCTATTCAGGTCTTTAGTTGATTGGATGAGGCCCTTCCACATTATGGAGGGCAGTCTGCTTTACTTGGTCTGCTGATTGAACGTTAATCTCAACCAAAAACACCCTCATAGACACCCGAAAATAAAGTTTGACCAAATGTCTGGGCACACCATATCACAGTTAAGCTGACTCAGCACAGTGCCTCAGTATTACTGTCATTATTATATATGAGGTACTATGTAATAGATTCTTTATATAGATTATTTAATTCTCTGAACATCTCTGTGAGAGAGGTAGGAATTAGCTTCATTTGCAAACAGGGAGGCTAAGGTTCTAACAGGTCAAGTAACTTACCCTATTACTCCAGCTGATAAATGAGAACCAGCCTGTGATCGCAGAACTGTCTGACGTTAAATCTATATTCTTTCCATGACACACTGCTCTATTTCTTTAGGCCTAGACTATTTTTTTTTGACATCTTTCCCTTCTTTTCATTACATTTTACTCTCCTCCACTTTTCTTCATCTGGTTGTTCTCTTCCTATTGATTCTCCACAGAAGAAGAATTATGAGCGGCTTCAGAAAGCTCTGGATAGTGTGATGTCCATCCGGGAGATGACCCAGGTATTCTGCCTTCTGTCCCCTGCCCTCTGCCTGCCCAGTTCAATTGCCCTATTCTGCTTATAATTTGTGGGAGTGGGGTGGAGATTTAGAGAAGCTACTCAAATTCCTCGTTGTACTTTCTTTAGTCTTCCCTCTTTAACCTTCCCAATTCTTGTTCTCTGTTTTGTAAGCTTTGTTACTCCTCTTTATTTTCTTTCTTTTTTTTTTTTAAAAAAACATAACCAGTAAGGGGATCTCAACCCTTGACTTGGTGTTGTCAGCACCACGCTCTTTTTCTTTAGTCTTCCCTCTTTAACCTTCCCAATTCTTGTTCTCTGTTTTGTAAGCTTTGTTACTCCTCTTTATTTTCTTTCTTTTTTTTTTTAAAAAAAACATAACCAGTAAGGGGATCTCAACCCTTGACTTGGTGTTGTCAGCACCACGCTCTCCCAAGTGAGCCACGGGCCGGCCCTACTCCTCTTTATTTTCTTCATGCCTAGTGTCTCTCTCAACCTTTACCTTTGCTGCTGATTTCTTCAAATTTTTCATGTTGAGTATTCTTTTCATAATTCTTAGGGAATTAGAGAAGTGAGGGAGAGACCTTTGTCCAGGGTTGGGAGGGTGAGGAGGGAGCTTGGAGGTAAGGAACTAGACCCTGGGGCCTACATCTTCTGTCCTTCTAGGGGTGGGGCAGCCACATGGAGCAGTGACCATCCTTTGACTCAAGGCTGTCCCTCACCAGACTTCCCCACCCCTCGTCTGCAGTCTCTGCATGAATAGACATTCATTTGTACTCACATTTACAGGTGGGCCTCTTCTCAGCAAATCCTATATATCACAGTTCAGATTAACACATGAGATACACCTGGGAGGGATAATTTTATTTGTCAGAAGGAGTCTTTTCTTTATGTAAATGTTTACCACAGGATTCCTAAGCCTAATCTTTCAGGGACATTGATTTTATTTATTTTTTGATTTACCGTCAACTTTTAGGGCTGTAGGAATTGCATAAAATGAGGGAGACCCACCTGCATGTTGTTTTGTAAGCATTATCATTTTCACATTTATTTATGAGTCTCCCCAACCTGACTGGGGCGCCTCGAGGGTGGGAACCCCATTTCCTCTTTCCTCTGTGTGGCCTTTGGTGCCTACCTTACCCTGGGCCCTGATAGTCAGTTTATGGAAAGCGGGAGGGCTCCTACCTCTCCTGAGAGATAACCTTATGGCCACTGTCTTACAGGGCTCATATTTGGAAATCAAGAAGCAGATGGACAAGTTGGATCCCCTGGCCCATCCTCTTCTGCAGTGGTATGGATAGGGACTTATCCCCTGGGGCAGGGGGAGGGAAAGAGGTATTGGGCATGGAGCCCAAATCTTCTCTTAGAGGTGTTCAGCATCTTTCCTCAGGTTATAGACAGTATGGCTGCTTTTTCTTGGAGTTTTATTGATACACCTTGCCTTGACAAGAACCCAGATCCTACAAAGAGCCCACAAATTCTGACACTGATTTCTCAAGTTCTCTTTAGATGTTCCATGTTTCCCAATAGGTTTGGTTTTTTCCTTAATTTATTTTTTAATTTGACAAATAAAAATTGTATATATTTAATATGTACAACGTGATGTTTTGGAATATGTATACATTGTGGAGTGGCTTAATAGAGCTAATTAACATATACATTACCTCATTTTTTGTGGTAAGGACACTTAAAATCTACTGAGATTTTCAAGAATATAATACATTGTTATTAATGGTAGTCACCACTAATAGGTTTTTGAGTGTCCTTTGCGTGTAGGTCTCATTTTTTGTGGTAAGGACACTTAAAATCTACTGAGATTTTCAAGAATGTAATACATTGTTATTAATGGTAGTCACCACTAATAGGTTTTTGAGTGTCCTTTGCGTGTAGGAATTAACATTGTTCATTTCAACTAAGTTTTCTATTCATCCAGGGAGGTCTGTCTCATCCTACAATCCCCTTTCCCTGCCTCAGAACCTTCCCTGATGACATAGAATACCCAGATCCTTGAGGCACTATTGTTATTCCCTTTTCCTAGCAAAGATTCTGACTATTCTCTACTGCCCTCCCTCCTTGATCTTGATTTCTGTTCTGTTTTCCTGACATAACTTTCCCCTTCTAGCTTGCCTCCCTCCTCCTAGTCAGCCTTTGACATCAGTACTTTCTAATGCAAAAGCTTCTTCTCTCTTTGCATGAGGAATGACCAGGCATAGACCATCCAGATCGCATCACAAGTACATGGATGAGGTGCAAAAAAACAGTTTCCACTGTAGGAGATAGAGCTCTCTCGCTTAGACCTCAATGTTTTATGCCTTTGTTCTCTCCTGTCCTCTGAGTTCAGCCTATATATACACTCTAGTTGTCCCCCAACTCCTCCGGAAGTTAATGCTAAAAAGGCAAAAGGTTTATTTGCTCTGAAGAGAGACCTGAGTATAGAAAGATCATTCTAGTTTCTTCCTCCAGTCTAAACAGTAATTTTCTCTCTATTCCTCCCTGTCTGTGAGAGCCTTCAGGCTTTCTGTGAGCTCAGGCAGGATGGATCCTGAGCCCCAGTTCTGAGTCTGTAAATACCAGGTATAAGTTGTCACTATCCTAATTCAGAGCTCGCCTTTTTTTTTCTTTTTTTCTTTGGGCAGTGACCTCTTGTGCTCTTCCTTTTGTTCTATCCTTTTCCCTTCCTGTGTGTAGCAGCACTTCCTGCCCCCTTCTTTCTTTCATCCAGTGTTTAACTCTCCAATAACTAGCTGGTCTCTAGCCAGTAGCTTACCTTGTACATTTTTAAACACAAGCATTATTACCAACAAGGAATACCCAGATAATGACCTGGACATTTCACATAATTCAGGCAGCCCAGGAGTCCTTGCTTCTTCTCCCAGGGGCAGAGTAATGCTGCTTGTTCAGTATAGCCTAACCACACAGTTATTCTATTCTTTTCCTTTTTTCTCTGTTTCTTCCCAGGATCATCTCTAGCAACAGGTCACACATTGTCAAACTACCTCTCAGCAGGGTAAGTGACCATTCTCCCTCTACACTTCCCTTTAAATTTTTGGTAGGAGGTAGGGAGATGCTCTAAGCTAGCTAACCAGAATGGTCCTAGATCTGCCTAGTTGGTTGTGTCCATCAACATAGTCTTTGAGCCTAAGCATATTTCCCTATTGTGGGGTCAGTGCAAGCCTGATTTGTTCCCTGTAGCCAACCCTTCCCTCCCTGATCTCGATTTCTGCTCTCTTTTCCTGACCCCACCCCCACCCTGGGCAGCAGCTGAAGTTCATGCACACCTCACACCAGTTCCTCCTGCTGAGCAGCCCTCCTGCCAAGGAGGCTCGGTTCCGGACTGCCAAGAAGCTCTACGGCAGCACCTTTGCCTTCCAGTGAGGAGGGTGGGGGCTGGGCGGTGGTTGTGGGGGTGGGGTGGGGTATGGGAAGAGTGCCCTTGAGGTATATGTGTTGTGTTACCTGTGTCCATCAGTCAACAAATATTAATTAAATGCTATTGTGGTAGGTGCTCTAGAGGATAAAAAGATACATATGACATGATCTTTGTTCTCAAGCTACTTGTGATGTAGTTGAAGAGAAATAACATTTATAGTTTTATGTAAAAAGATGTGGTTGAAGGAACAGATTAGGGGAGATATATTTGAAAGCTACTTTGAAAGAAAATTTGCAATTTATGCTAATTGCGAGAGAGAGAGAGACGGAGAAAGAGAGAGATTATAGGTAACTTAGAGGGAGTGGTAGTACTTGTTCCTTAAAATAGGACATGAAGTCAGGACTGGAAGCCCTGTTTGGGATCGGTGATAAGTTTGTTGAGTTGGAGATGAGTCAATTAAATTTGAAATATCAGAATAGGCAAATGAAAATACTGAACCAGCAGTTGAGGATTTAAGATAAGATTAGCTGAAGCACAGAAAGAGTATGGGATTGGAAATAAAGATGTAGGGTTTAACAACACACATACATTTTGCATGTCTGTGACTATCAATGTGCATGTCCATCACTAGGTGTATCTGTGTCCATCTTCATGTCCTGTGTGGGTGAGAATGGGTGGGAATGGCAGTCCTGGGACCCTCATACCGTGAGGAGACATGTATTCTATTCTGCCTTACAGTGGGTCACACATTGAAAACTGGCATTCGATCCTGCGCAATGGGCTGGTCAATGCATCCTACACCAAACTGCAGGTGAGGCTGTGCCCCTTTCTCCTTTCTTTCTACCCCTGTCCCTGCTCTAGTCAGTTTTGGTGACAGCTGCTGTAGAGTACTCAGTTGTTTTGCCTCAGTATCCTCAAGCCTAACCTGTCCTGGGGACTTCCCTAGAGAGGAAGCTGGAACTGGATATATAGAATGAATGTGGCTGTTGTGTATTTGACCTCAGGCTGTTTTTTGGTGGTTTTAGGAATGGGAATGTACACAGAAATATAAAATTGCTGATCATACCCACTGTGAATTAACCTATGAGAAAGAGCTTTTCAATTTTTGTGGCTATTCATTCAAATAGTTGATATGGAAGACTTCTTTCTTTGCCCTGAGAGACTCCAGAAATGGCTATTGTCCCTTCTCCTGGAACTTGTTCTATAGTTCCTCCTTTTTGGAATCTGCATATGTACCAAGGCCTGGGGACATGAGTATAGATGCCGAGGGACAGACTCAGTAGCTCTGCCACTCCCCTTTCCAAGGCATCAATATCTAGTATTTCATAGGCAAGTGAGTTAACCTGCATCTACTTTTCAGCCAATCAGCTTTTCAAGAGTAGGTGCCTAGAGTTATTTGAATGAGTGAGAAGGTAGATGGAGGAACAGAGGGCTAGATAAGCCTTGTGGCTGCCTTACTATATAGCCATGGGAGGGCCCAGGCTCATATTGCTCATCCTGGTGTTTCCCTACAAGCTGCATGGAGCAGCCTATGGCAAAGGCATCTACCTGAGCCCCATCTCCAGTATTTCCTTTGGATACTCAGGTAAGAAACACTCTCTGGCCACCTTGACTCTATTTGCATTGCATCCATTTGTGACCACATGATATGTGCTGTCTCCTCCTCCCCCATCATGGATACTTGGTCTATGTCAGCTCTCTCCCCAATCATGGATACATAGTCTGTCTCTACATTCTCTCGTTATCAATTTAGAATCTTTACAAGGTGAGGCCAGATATCATTAAGAATGATGGTTTTATTCATTGTACGGGCTTGGGCCTGAGAATGGGTTAAGGAGTAACTGGGAGATAAGGCTTTTCATAGACCACGTCTTTGGTATTGGCAATTACAAATCGTTTATGTGTACATGTGTGCATTTGAGTTTATGTGTGACTACACCTGAAGGCTTGACTCCTTTCCATTGGCTTATATTTCTGGAGACATTGTTCTTCTATCAACTACCTTTTAAAGTTTAAATTGTCTGTAGTCATACACTATTATATTAGTCACATTGAATGCAAGAGAAAGCATTTTATTCTAAAGATAAGACGAGGTTGAGATTCTAGTCAGGAGATGAGTCCAGCTTTGTCACCCTCAAAAAAGGAGTCTGACTTAGATCTCTGTCAGTCTTCCAGGTTCCTGTCTTAGTTCCTTTTCGGTCTGCTTTTGTTCTTGTTCAGTGTAGTCTCTATAAGGGATAGCCACCATATAGTTGCATGTCCATCATGTGAAGGGGATTGTGCTAAATTCTTTATAAATTGTTATTTAGTATTCTGCAGTAATTGTAACTATTAATAAAGATAAGAAAACAATCAAAGAACTAGAAAAGTCTCTAACAACAGAATACCAAACAAAGTAGGGAAAAAAAAGAACCAAAATAGGTAAGACCAAAATCTATGAAATAAAAACCAGGTACAAAAGATAGAACCAAAAAAGCCAAAGGATGATTCTTTTAAAGTAAACTAACAAAACAGATAAACCTTGGTGTAGTAGTCTGTTTTTGTTGCTTATAACAAAATACCTGAAACTAGGTGATTTATAAAGAAAACAAAACTTATTGCTTACAGTTTCTGAGGCTGGGAAGTCCAAAGTCCGTCTGATGGTGGTGACAGTGACCCAGGGGTCTCACAAGATGGTGGAAGCAGAGAGAGCAGAAAGAAAGAGAGAGAGAGAGACTCTCCTAAAGCCCTCAGAACCACACCCCTGACCACCATTTTTAATCCATTCACTACAGCATGGTTCTACAATCTAATCACCTCCTCAAGGCTCCACCTTCCAATTACTGTAATAGGATTTCCCAACCTCTTAACAGTCACAGTGGGAGCTAAGTTTCTAATGCATAAAACTTGGGGGACACAATTCAAACTTCAGTGAGTTTTGGGGGAAGATAATTCAATCCACTACACTTGGTTACATAAGAAGAAAAAGGATACAATTAATATGAGTGGAAAAGGCAAAATAAATACAGATAGAGCAGAATTTAAAAGCTGATAAGAGAATTCTGTAAACTTATACCAATAATTTGAAATCTGAGAAAATGGATAAATTCCTAGAAAAATATAACTTAACAAAACCAGTTCAAGAAGAAATAGAAAGACTGAATAGCATACAACTATAATAGAGATGGAAATAGTTTAAAATATTTCACAAAATAAACAAAATACCCACCAAGCCCAGATAGTTTTGTTATTAAGTCTTAAGCCAAACTTTGAGGGAGCAAAATTATTCCAGTCTTATACAAAATCTTCCAGAGAATAGAAAAAGATGGAATTACAAATCATAAAAGATTGGTAAATTCGACTTTATTAAAACTAAAAACTTCCATTCATCAGAATACACCTTAAAGAAAGTGAAAAGACAAACTAAAACTAGCAGAAGACATCTGCAACACATATTCATACAACCACAAAAAATAACAAAAATGTAAAAAATAAAAACATTTTAAAATTCTTAAAATCAGTAAGAAAAAGACAACCTAATAGAAAAACAAGCAGACAACATGAACAGGCATTTCACTGAAGAGATGACCAAACAATATGAAAAGCTGCTCAACCTCTATTTATAGGTAAGTAAAATCAAGACCAAAATGACTTACCATTTAGTACCCATGTAGATTGGCAAAAATAAGAAATCTGATAATACCTCTGATTGTACCAAAGGTTGTAGATCAGCAGAATCTCCTTTATTGCCCATGGGGATATAAATTGGTACAACTGTGTTTGCTTTGGCAGCACATGTACTGAAATTGGACTGATACAAAGATGATTAGCATGACTCCTATACAAAGATGACATGCAAATTCGTGAAGTGTTCCATATTTTTAAAAAATATATTGGTACAACCATTTTGGAAAACAAGTTGGTGTTATTTTATGAAGCTGAGCAGTTTTATCCTCGTGACCCAGAATTTTAATTCCTGCATATGCACTCCCAAAAAACGTGTACACGAATACTCTAAGCAATACTGCTTGCAACTGCAAATTTTGGAATTAGCTCAAATGTTCATAATTGCCAGGATAACGGATAAATACATTTTGATATACAGTCTTGTACCACATAACAATGTTTCAGTCAAGGATGGACCGCATACACGACGGTGGTCCTATAAGAATATAATGGCTATACCATCTAGCCTAGGTGTGCAGTAGGCTATACTATCTAGGTTTGTGTAAGTACACTCTCTGATGTTCTCACAAAGACAAAGTCACCTAATCATGCATTTCTCAGAAAGTACTCCTGTTGTTAAGCAACACATGGCTATGTTCTCACAATGGATTATTTAGCAATGAAAATGGACAAATATCAGTGGCATGCAGCAACATGGAAAAATCTTAGTAATATGTTGAGTAAAAAAAGGCTAGCCCCAAAAGACTAATGATGCCTCTTTTATATTGTTCAAAAGCAAACAAATTAAACATCATGTAGGCATATACAAACACACACACACAGTGCGTATGATAAAAAAGAAAAAGAATAACAACCCAAATTTCAGGGTAGGGGTTACTTCCCAAGGGGAGGCAGATAGTTAGATATAAGTCATGATAATGTTTAAGTCTTGGATTTAGTTCTTGTGTTGAGTCTCTAGGTATTCATTGTCCTGTTAAAAAATGATAATGTGTGGGCCGGCCCCGTGGTGCACTTGGGAGAGTGCGGCGCTGGGAGCGCAGCGATGCTCCCGCTGCGGGTTCGGATCCTATATAGAGATGGCCGGTGCGCTCACTGGCTGAGCGCGGTGTGGGCGACACTAAGCCAAGGGTTGCGATTCCCTTACCGGTCATGAAAAAGACAAAAATAATAATAATAATGTGTCATGAAACAGGTTATGATTGAAATACACAGGGTAAGTGCCCAATAAATATTTACTGAATGTGTGAATGAATCTTATTCTGTGTGCCAGGGGTCTGAAGTGGGGGTGGGGTTGGAGTAATCTTTTTGCTTCCATATTTCTCACTTTTATCTTTGTCTCAGCGTAAGCATTCCTTTGATTAAGTTCTCAATACTTTGCGGGTCATGAGATTCTCCTGGTTCTTGATCCCCACAAGATTCTTCCTTTGTATTTTCTCCCTTTCCTTCTTTTTTTCCCATGGGCTTTTGTTTACCACTAAGTGCCTGAATACCTTTAGTTATCAGATGAAGCCAGGAATCTCTATTGCCTTCTTGTCTGTCTTCATCACTTTACTGATTACATGAAAGCATCACATGATAATCTCTCAAAGGCTGATTGGTTATAGATACAAAATGCGATAGTTCACTGTTGTAGTTATAGATCATGTAGTTTGATCCCTTATTATCACTTTACAGATGAGAAATCTGATACACAGAAAAGTTAAATGATTTTATCATGGTCACACTGCTCTGAGTAGTAGAGCTAGGACTGGAGTCCAGGTGTCCTTAGCTTTAGGCCAGTGTTCTTGTCACTGTATTGGACTGACAGGGTAGGCTTTGGTTGAATGACTGGGTCTCTGAGGGCCCCATAGATATATGAGAGTCTCTATGAAAGTTGGTCGTATGTGTGGAAATATCCTACTTATTGTAGTTACTCTAGCATTTGACCAGCTGTTTTGTATAATTTCTTCTACCCCATTCTGCTCTGGTTTTCTGTTTTCTCGTTCTCAGTTTACCTTTAGCTCAGTGGTGTTGGGTGCCCTCTGGTGGTGAGAGTTGGTATAAATAGCATCCATTTGACTAGTGGAACCTCCAGTGACTTGGCTATTGTCACACAGTGTGTAGGTTAAAGTGAGGGGCAGGAAAGCAGATGGTGAACTCCATCTGTTTGTTTAGTCCTGTTTGGGGACCTCTGATAAGTGCACAGTCTGGACACAAAGCATCCAGGGATTATTCTAGCCTCCGTGTTCTCAGGCTGTGGTCTCAGGAAACAGACAGAAGATCACAGGAAAGCAGATGGTGAACTCCATCTGTTTGTTTAGTCCTGTTTGGGGACCTCTGATAAGTGCACAGTCTGGACACAAAGCGTCCAGGGATTATTCTAGCCTCCGTGTTCTCAGGCTGTGGTCTCAGGAAACAGACAGAAGATCATAGGGTCAGTATGGACAGGACACTGTGCAACAGGATTGGGGAAGGATAAGATTTGGGTTATATCATAAGCACCATCTCTGAGACACACATAGAAATGAGATGTTCTTTCTTATCCTCTTGTCTGCTTTCTCTGAAGTAGAACTTGAATAGGAATTTCATTCAGAACATTGTCACTGATATACCCAGGCTGAGAAGGTCATGATGTTTGGATGCAGAGCTGAGTCTAGTCAAGAATAATGGAGAAGGAGGAAATAGAGGGGTGATGAATGAATGTCCTATAGGAAGAAGAAATTGGCAATTCAAACCTTGAGGGTCTCATTGCCCTGAATTTTGTTCAGGCCATGAACGTCTCATGAGACTTCAGTCTAAGTGCATGATGAGTTGACAGTGTGAGCAGTGAAGAATTTCAGTCCAACAGTTAACCCCAGCTCTACACCTGGCTATCACAAAATCAAGAATTGAAGCAGAGTGGAGTTAATAATAGAAAGTTCCAGGGTAGAGTAGTTTGATAGGGGGCCTGTTTATGGCCTGTAATGACAGCATCATTTCCATCTTCATCCATCTCCCTTATGGTCACCCCCCCCACACACACACACACCCTCCCCCCGAATCACACACATTCTTATCCCTAACTATGATAAGACTGGGCCTGTAATAAAGTACAGAGGCCGAAGTCCTATTCTCAAGCCAAAAAGAGTTGGGAGGAGGGGCACACATGCACTGTTTTATATCTAAATAAGAAAAATTCAGGTTGAGTCTATAAATATTATAAAAAGGGCTATTCATTCGGTGGGTAGTAAGGATGGTAGAGGATTTATGGATTTACATAGTGTGGAAACTAAAGGGAACTGGCACTTCTTTCTCAAGTCTGGGAAGACTTTCTGAAGGAAGTAGGATGCTTCAAGGTAGCTGCCATTGTGATTACCTGTGGAACATTATTCATCTCTTAACTGCTGGGCTTTGTCCATTTCACTTGAATGACTGGTCAGAGTTTTTATGTAACTTGGAGACTAGAGCAGATCTGACTTGTTCTGCTTGCTTTCTCCACATTCATTTTACTCAGCCTGGTATTTGATACCAAGGTATCAATGTCCCACTCTCCTGGGCCCCTCATTCCTGACTTTTATCACATTAGTTACTTCCCTATCTTAGAACCTGTCAGTGGTTCCTTGATGTTCTAAGGATAAACTCTGGTTGTCATAACATGGCCTACAAGGCCTGCTTGATCTGATCCTAGCCTACCTTTTCCACATTATTTCTCACCACTCCTCTACCTTTGACTATCCTCTACACAAACTAAGGTACACTACCTTATCTTTCCTCCAGGCCTTCCATATCATATTCCTTCTACCCAGAACATTTTCCCCTCTTCATTTAACTAACTCTTCCTAATCCTGTAGTTTTTAATCTGGCTGTCACAGGATGCCTTCTTCAAACCCCTAAGCTAGGCTAGTTCACACCCTGTGGCTCACACAATGCTCTATAATCTCCTCATCACAACCCTTACCATACTGTGTTGTAATTTCTTGTTCCTTGCCTGTAATCACTGCTAGACTAAACACTCTGGGGGCAAATATTTTGTTTTATTCACCACTATATTGCCAAGTGTCCTTCTTGGTGCCCGGCACATAGTAAGCACTTCAGATTGAGGAATGGATAAATGAACTGGGTCTGTTGTTCTGTGACAGGAATGGGAAAAGGACAGCACAGGATGCCCTCCAAGGATGAGCTGGTCCAGAGATATAACCGGATGAATACCATCCCCCAGGTATTATTAGTTGGCCCTCCTGTAATGAGGTAGGACCCTTCCCCGGAGCTAGTTTATGCTGCAGCAATGGGTGGGGAAACAGTGGTGGGTGGGGGGCATGCATATGATTTGAAGATCAATTAAAAGAATCAGGTATGTTCTAAGATGAACACTTCTGCAGTCATATGTGGCCTCAGTCATAAGTATGAAAGCAGAGACTGACTTTAGATGAAAATGTAAAGATGGAAGCTGTGGGACTAACTATGGGAAAGGAAAACTTTGGGAGGTGGTTGGGAGCCCAGGATATCCACGACCCCATCCCTAATCATCACCAGTTAACCAGCCTCTCAAGGGAAAGCTATAACAAGTATACCTGGCTCCTGGCTCTGCTCTCCTTTGCGTCATTCTTTTCCAGACCCGATCCATTCAGTCAAGGTTCCTGCAGAGTCGGAATCTAAACTGTATAGCGCTGTGTGAAGGTAGGTAGCTCTTCCAGTTCGTTTTTCTGGGTCCCCAACCTTTATTTCTGATGCACCTGTGGTACATGATCCAGCCAAGGGTGATGTTGAAGCATCATGTTTTCCTGCCCCTGCCTGGACTCTGTGCCTTAAGCATTATAACTTCTGGCCCCTTTCCTCCCAGTGATTACATCTAAGGACCTCCAGAAGCACGGGAACATCTGGGTATGCCCTGTTTCCGACCATGTCTGCACACGGTTCTTCTTCGTGTAAGTCTAGGAGGGTCCCTGGGTATTACTCAAGGAGTGAGAGTGGGGGTGTGACGGTGTGTGACTACTGAGAAAGTCTATTTATATTATCTGAGAGTTATCCCTGGCTACCTGAGGGGAGCTGGCACTGGTACTTTCCCCTTGGAGGATGGAGATGGGTACAGATTATTGGGATCTGTTTAGAGTAAATCAAGGTAAGCTGAATCCCTTCTAGCCTGAAGAGTAGTGAAAAAGAGCTTTGACTTTTGGGATGGGATGACCACACATCAAAACACAGTTCTGGGACGAGCCCGTGGCGCACTCGGGAGAATGTGGCGCTGGGAGCGCAGCAGCGCTCCCGCTGCTGAATCCCTTCTAGCCTGAAGAGTAGTGAAAAAGAGCTTTGACTTTTGGGATGGGATGACCACACATCAAAACACAGTTCCGGGACGAGCCCGTGGCGCACTCGGGAGAATGTGGCGCTGGGAGCGCAGCAGCGCTCCCGCTGCGGGTTCGGATCCTATATGGGGATGGCCGGTCACCGCTCACTGGCTGAGCGCGGTGCCCCCGGTCTCAAAAAAAAAAAAAAGTTCCACTGGTTGACGTTATTCTGGTGCTGTTTTCCCTCTTATGCTCACAATTGCCCTATCTTTGGCAGATATGAGGATGGTCAGGTGGGCGATGCCAACATTAATACTCAGGACCCCAAGATACAGAAGGAAATCATGCGTGTGATCGGAACTCAGGTTTACACAAACTGAGGGGGCCCCAGCCCTCGTACCACTCCCATTACCCCTGGATCCATCTGCCCTCATAAAAGGGCTCAGGAGCAGCAGATGAGCCTGCCCTGAGGAATCAAGGGGTCATTACCAAGGGGCAGGAAAATGATAGAAGAGATGGCCTTCATGGTGGAGATTGACCCAGGAACCACTCCACGTTTGGATGTCCCAGAATGACTCCAACCTTTGATTTTCCCAGTTGACTTCATCCTGTTTGTAAATAAAACAATAAAATGGAAGGTGCTGTGGACTGGATATGATCACTGTGGTCTGACTAGGCTTGGCCCAGCACCTACCCCAAGTTCCCAAATGAGGGTTGGGATGGGAAGAGTGGAATATCCTGAGAGTTGCACGCAGTCAGAACTGAATCCATTTAGTCAATCCATTTAATGCTGCAGAGCTGTTAGCATTTTTATCAATGGATTAAAGAAGGGAAATTTGACAGTTGTGCAGATGAAACAAACTGAGCATATAGTGAAAGAAAGTGAGCCGAAATGCTGGGTACTGATCAGGCTTTATTAAAGGAAGAAAATCTGCTGGGCTGCACTCAAAATGGAGGGCAGCACCAGGCCTTGGGGTGGGAGAGCTTATATAGACTGTAGGGAAGGCTGACTTAATCAGGGAGGGAGTTTGGTAGTGAAGTGGGAGATAAAGCTGGTGGATGCAATCAGGTGGAAGGTTGCACCCGTGCAGAAGTAGAGGAGTTTCTGTTTCTCAGAAACCATGAGGTTTCTCGTAAGGGAAAGGCTGGCGGCCATTTTGTGCTTATTGTGTGCAAAATGGCGCCACTCACGTTCAAGATCCATCATGTAGAATACCACTAATGACTGTTAGGCAAGATTTGAAAGGACCGTTGAGGTCCGAGCCACTCAGATTTCCTAACTTTAGGGCCTATTGCTTTCCACACAAAACCTGCCCAGTCTCCCTTGCTCTATATCTTAGTAGTTGGGCGCCTACTTTCTTCTTCCTCCCACCCATTTCTTTAGGATAAGTGAGAGGGTGGGGGAGAAGAGCTGGCAGGTGCAGGAAAGCTTCCCTTAATGAAGCAAAACTCAGACTCTTCAAGGTTAGCAAGGTAGAGAAGAAAGGCAGTTGTTTCTAGGAGACCTAATTGTTTCAATGAATTCCATCTTCTCCCTGTTGAAATTCCCACTGTAAACCTTCTGCTGGCCTTTCAAGCTGTGCTTCATGTACTTCAAACCCTTAGTTCGAAGCATAGATGAGATAAGTTGGCCATTTGCAAATATTTTATGAAATATTAATAAGAAAAACAGGAAGATAAGCACAGAATGCAAAAGTCATTGAGCATGGCTTTTCAAGGATAGTTTTTTTATTCTTTTATAGTTTCTTTCTGTACAAAGCCTATCCTAGACTACCTGTTTTTTATTACCTTTGCCATACTTTAAGGTACCTTCTTGCCTGGGTACCTTACCCTGTTTTGTAGTTCCTGACCTGCTTTAACATGGAAGTACCATTCTTAAGGTCCATAACCCTAGGAACTATTTCTTTAATTTCTTTACCCTTTCTTGATCAAGACTAGTACATTCTTTTTTTTAAAAAAAGATGACCGGTAAGGGGATCTTAACCCTTGACTTGGTGTTGTCAGCACCACGCTCAGCCAGTGAGCTAACCGGCCATCCCTATATGGGATCCGAACCCGTGGCCTTGGTGTTATCAGCACCGCACTCTCCCGAGTGAGCCACGGGCCGGCCCAAGACTAGTACATTCTGATTCAACAAGTCTCATAAGGCTCTCTTCCCCCATTCTGGTTTCAGGTCTAGGTGAAATAACTTTTTTTTTAAAGTTTAAATTTAAATTTTTATTTTGTCAATATACAATGTGGTTGATTATTGTGTCCAATTACCGAAACCTCCCTCCCTCTTCCCTCTCCCCCCTCCCAACAATGTCCTTTCTGTTTACTTGTATCAACTTCAAGGAATTGTAATTGTTATGTCTTCTTCCCTCCCCCCCCTCCGTTTTTTTCGTGTATTTATTTTTAGCTTCCACAAATAAGTGAGAACATGTGATATTTCTCTTTCTGTGCCTGACTTGTTTCACTTAATATAATTCTCTCAAGGTTCATCCATGTCATTGCAAATGGCAGTATTTCATTCTTTTTTATAGCAGAGTAGTATTCCATTGTGTAGATATACAACATTTTCTGTATCCACTCATCTGATGATGGATATTTGGGCTGGTTCCAACTCTTAGCTATTGTAAAGAGTGCTGCAATGAACATTGGGGAACAGGTATACCTTCAACTTGATGACTTCCATTCTTGGTATATTCCCAGCAGTGGGATAGCTGGGTCATATGGTAGATCTATCTGTAATTGTTTGAGGAACCTCCATACTATTTTCCATAGAGGTTGCACCACTTTGCAGTCCCACCAGCAATGTATGAGAGTTCCTTTTTCTCCGCAACCTTGCCAGCATTTATTGTGCACAGTCTTTTGGATATTAGCCATCCTTACTGGGTTGAGATGGTATCTCGGTGTGGTTTTGATTTGCATTTCCCAAATACCAAGTGATGTTGAGCATTTTTTCATATGTCTGTTGGCTATTCATATATCTTCCTTGGAGAAATGCCTATTTAGCTTTTTTGCCCATTTTTTAATTGGGTTGCTTGTTTTTTTGTTAAGTTGTTTTGAGTTCCTTGTATATTCTGGATATTAATTCTTTGTCAGATGTATATTTTGCAAATATTTTTTATCACTCTGTTGGTTGTCTTTTAACTCTGTTAATTGTTTCTTTTGCTGTGCAGAAGCTTTTTAGTTTGATATAATCCCATTTGTTTATTTTTCCTTTGGTTACCCATGCTTTTGGGGTCATATTCATGAAGTCTATGTCCAGTCCTACTTCCTAAAGTGTTTTTCCTATGTTTTCTTTAAGAAGTTTTATTTTTTCAGGGTGTATATTTAATTCTTTAATCCATTTTGAGTTGATTTTAGTATATGGTCAGAGGTATGGGTCTAGTTTCATTCTCCTGCATATGGATATCCAGTTATCCCAGCACCATTTGCTGAAGAGGCAGTCTCTTCCCCAGTGTATAGGCTTGGTGCCTTTGTCAAAGATCAGATGGCTCTGGGGGGGTGGGGTGATTTCTGGATTCTCTATTCTATTCCATTGATCAGTGTGTCTGTTTTTATGCCAGTACCATGCTGTTTGGTTATTATAGCTTTGTAGTATAGTTTAAAGTTAGGAGAAATAACTTTTAACCAAATAAATGACACTACTAATGAGCCCACTGAAATTCTTGCCTTCTGGGAGGACCCTTGTAGCCAATCTGTATGGTATTAGAAATAGCTAACATTTTTTAGTTCTTACCACGTAGGTGCTTGGCATTATGATAAGCACTTGGATAATTGTAGATGAGAAAACAGAGGCACAGACAATAAGTAATTTACCATATTCCACAGCTAGTGACAGGCAACCAGATTTCAGAACCGCTGTTCTGGTTCTATGCTATATAGCCTTTCAAACTTTACAAAACAATTTTTTTTTCATTTAATCCTGAAAGCAAAGCTGATCTTAAATAATGTGTCTGTGGTCTCACAGCTGGTTAGTTGAAATGCTGGGTTTTTAGCCAGATCTGCCCAACTCCAGAACCTAAGCTGTTAACCATTTTTTTTTACTCCCTAGAGGTTCTCAAACTGCTCCCACTTGTGTTCCAGCAACTGAAATATATTCTGGGGTCTGGGTACTAGGGCTCTTTTTTTTTTTTTTTTGTGGCTGGCTGTACGGGGATCTCAACCCTTGACCTTGGTGTTCTCAGCAGCACACTCTCCCAAGTGAGCTAACTGGCCAGCTCTGTTTCAGCAACTGAACCTAAGTGCATAGCTACTCAAATAGTGTAACAACATTTTTGTTCAGTTTTAGAAATTGGTAATAGATTTTTCTCAGCTGTAAGCTGTTATAATTTCTCTTTGTCAGTGGCATCTGATATAAGCAAGTACTAGTAAACGATGGAATGAGAAGGAATGAACAAATAGTGCACAAGGGTCCTTCAAAAAGTTCATGGAAAAATAGAATTAAAAGATAATATGAATCTTTCCATGAACTTTTTGAAGTACCCTTATATATTGAAAGCCACAGATAATTATACCTTATAAAATTCAAAACATGAGATAAGACAAATCAAAATTCCACGAATGCAAAAACACAAGTTTCATTGCAAGTAAACTTGTTGGATGGGGCCCTGAGTTTTTGTAGCAAAATCTTCCCACATCCTTGAGGGGGAATTGAGGGTGGGTTTCCCCTTTCCCCCATCCAGGCCTGGCTACCTTGGATGTGGGGAAGCCGGGGCCTGGAACAGCCACGTGTGAGCAAGAAAGCATCATCCTTCACAGAGGCCAAAGCTGTTACAAATACTGCACACACAGGTTGACGGTGGCCTCCTGCTTTTCACATAGTCCTGGGCTCAAGCAACCTCACCTCGTTTAGATCTGGATGTGTTTGGTTAGGCATAGGATAAGGAAAAGAACTATTTTCCTCGATTAGTTCCAGGTGGAGAGTAGATGGCTGTGATTTCTGGACTGAGAACTCAAAAACTCCTGAAATTTAACTTTCCCCTTCCCTCCTCTCCTGGTAATTTTCCATCCAGGTAGGGTGTGGCCATGACTCAGTTTGTGGTGGGGATGTGGCCATCCATTGGGGAGGAGCCTGCTTAATTCTGTCTTTCATTCTGGCTGGTTGGGGGTGGTAGAGAGAGAGGAGTCTGGTGCTGAGTCACTACTGGGTTACTTAACATCTTCTCATAGGATGGATTCTGAGATGGAGATTTGGGGGATGTCTCAGCTTCTGGGATCAATTTGGAGAGGAAGCTTCATGGGACACAATATTCACCAAGAGCCCTTTTCATTTCAAGGTACGCTCCAGTTAACTTAAAGGGGCATCGGCCCCTTTGGAACACAGGACTTTCCATAAATGTTTAAGATCCCCCTGCCCCCCAGCAATGGGACCAGAGATGCCACCTTTAAGTTAAAGCATTGTCTAAAAAAATTATTTTTCCTAGGAGAGGGCCCAAAGTCTCCTTAGCCCTACTTGTCCTTCCCAGAATAAGTGGGTCAGGTTAGCTGGCAGCCAGTGAGCAGACAGACACAGATGGAGAGTGGAAGTATGGTACCAAGAAAAAAGCAGACTTTGAACTGCCAACAGGAAGATTCCTTGGGGAAAGGGGCACTTGATCCATTTTTCATTGGTGCCTTCCTTGGTCTTTGAAATCTTGATTAACACCCCATCTCATCCCTACCCCTG